AAATATAACGTCACACTGTCACCAACCAAGATGAAATATAATGTCACATTGTCACCAACCAGGATGCACTGAAATATAACGTCACACTGTCACCAACCAAGATGAAATATAATGTCACATTGTCACCAACCAGGATGCACTGAAATATAACGTCACACTGTCACCAACCAAGATGAAATATAATGTCACATTGTCACCAACCAGGATGCACTGAAATATAACGTCACACTGTCACCAACCAAGATGAAATATAACGTCACATTGTCACCAACCAGGATGCACTGAAATATAACGTCACACTGTCACCAACCAAGATAAAATGTCACGTCACACTGACACCAACCAAGGTGAAATGCACGTCACACTGTCACCAATCAAGATGCAGTGTTACGCAACACTGTCACTGACCATATAGGTAAACCTGTGTTAGCCGGTGCTTCTATACAATGGGCGTCTGTCTACAATACACATTTGGTATTGCACTACAGTCACAATTATATCAGGAGCTAATAATGACAAAATTTGTCATTATTAGCTCCTGATTATATGTAGGGGAACCACCTCAATTGAACATAAACCTGTCTAGAATGAACACTTTCGGCACTTCCCTAGACTCGCAATTATACAGTAAAACACCTATATACAACAAACACCTTGCCCATGAAAAGCACTTGTAGCATTTTTCAGACGTTATACAGTGAAACGTCTATAGAACAGACACCTATCTATATATGGAGGGAAAGGTGTACACTTTCAGAACTTCCCTTGGGTGACCCTGACAACGCGTTAGTGAGAATGACAGTACAGAGCAGTTAATTACCTCAGAGTTCTGTGAAAACACCACGCTTGTAAGCTTGACATTCATCACTGGCGTGTTGACAATCACTGGATCAAGTCTGTAGGAAAAATCACGAAGATCTGAGTAACATAATGACATCACCATATCTGCCTGTTGTCCACTACCACTAGCAGTGTAGGTTTGTCAAATCTGTCATTTGTTTCGGATCGAATCTGTCTCGCTTTAATCGTGGGATATCTGCTATCGTACTTGGAAAAGAAACAGTACCGTCGTCAGTGGCGTAGCCAGGATTTTTTAACAGGGGGGAGGCAAAAACAGCAAACGGCGCAAAATAGTGGATTTTAATGGTTCCTCCGCCTCTCTCTCCACACCCTACGCTCCCCCACCTCTCAGCTCTGCAATCTTTGTTTTGGGTGCCATGCAAAAAGGCGACATTTTTGTCCGTTGTTCTCTGCTCCCAAGGTATGTAACTGCTAAGTGGCGGATGCAGGATTCCAAGGAGGGGGTGAAAAACAAATGAAGGGTATGGGGGTCCTCCCCCAGAAAATGTTGAAAATGTAGATCGTAGATGGTATTTGAGGCACTTTTGAGTACATGTACAGCCTTCATTCTGACTACGACAATTCTCTTTTTAGTAGAAGAATTCTTTTTTTTTTTACATTTTCGTTTACTTTCGGAACCACAGGGTACAACATCTACAATCTCGCTCAATCATTATAGGTCTCAATTATAGGTCTCAATCAATTTGAGGTACATACTAAAGATTCGGCTTTAAGCAGCACATTCCCAGTTTTTGCACTGTGTGGGAAGGGGCAAGTTGGTGAGTTTTCAGTCCCCAGACAAGAGTGTGGACACCAAAGACTTTAAGTATGATAATTACAATGTAGTAATCAATCTAATAAAAGCAACTATACAATGTACAGTTATAGAAACTGGAAATGTGCGGGATGCGACAGGCCGCGAGGGAGGGACGTACGTGCTCTGTGCGAGGTCCCAGATCTCCAGGGCGCCTTCGTTGACACAGGCGAACACAGTGGAGCAGTACGGGGACCAGCAGACAGCGTGCACCGCTTTCTGCAACAGCACAATTAAAGTGATTACGTCACCGTAAATAGTAAAAGTAAGAAAAAAAATTCCAATCTAAGTAAGTGTGTTCACTTTTTATGCTTAAATTGCTGCATTATACTTCCTATTTTACTATATTGTTCGATGTAAACATACACTCGTGACTCATACGTAGACCATAGCAAGCAATTAATGTCAGGATCATAACATCAAATCGTCCAGCTTTTTTGGATTTTTAACTAGTTGAGAAACAATGTTACACGCGTACACACACACAAATACACACACACGCGTACGTGCACGCAGGAAAGTACACATACACGCGTACACACACAGAGATACACATGCACGTACACACACAGAGATACACACACAGAGATATACACACACGCGTACACTCACAGAGACACACACACACGCGTACACACACACAGATACACACGCACGTACACACACACGCGTGCACACACATGCGTACACACACAGAGATACACACACACGCGTACACACACAGAGATACACACACACAGAGATACACACGCAGAGATACACGCGCACGTACACACGCAGAGATACACACGCACGTACACGCAGAAATGCAGGCACGTGAACATATGTATACACACACATACATACAGACATGCACGTACACGCATGCACACACACACACGTGCGCGTGCGCGCGCGCACACACACACACATATACACAGACAGACACACACACATATGCACACACACACGCACACACACACGAATGTGTATGTGGTATGAGAGCTGCGTTTGTGGTATGAGGGGTGTATATGACTTATGGCAGTGTATGGGATTTACATATAGCAGTATAGTATTAAGTGAAGTTCATGAGTGATTAACAAAGGCATCGCTGCGAATATTTCTGCGTAAAATAAAGGCATCCTTTATGTTCGACTCGCTGACTGCTCTCGCCTGCCTGCTTGCAGACGTAGACCGAGTAAAAAGCAACAAGATGAGCTCTCGTAGCTTCACTGGAATCGGAGCGACGGTAGAACGGCTGTGGACGAGTACTCGTGCCCTGAAGGACGAAAGGTCACAACGTCAGCTGCATGACATGGAACCTCACCAACCCTGTAAGTGACGACGTGTCGCAGAACTGCTGCCACCTGTTGACTGCCGCTGCTCTCTCGTTCTCTCTCGTTTTCTCTCGTTCTCACGCTCTCCTCTCTCTCTCTCTCTCCAGCCCGTTATCTATCTCTCTCCTTTCTATCTCTTCTGGTTCTCTCTCTCTCTCCCATTTCGTCTCGATCTCTCTCCATCTCTCTCATCCTTTTTCTCTCTCTGCCTCTCTCATTGCGTTTATCTTTCTTTCTCATTCTACCTCTCTCATTCTTCTCTCTCTCTCTCTCTCTCGTCCTCCCTCTCTTCTCTCTCCTCCTCTCTTCTCTCCTCTCGTCTCATCTCTCTTCGATCAATTCTCTCTTCTTCTCTCCCTCTCATCTCTCTCCGTCTCTCTCTCTCTCTCTCTCTCTCTCTCT